GAAGAAGAATCACAAATGATTCGAAACGTCGGTATATTCTAATAAAATATCAACTCAAATCAGACCGAATTGGCTTTCATTTACTAATATCAACATATTTGCGGTCGATAGACACTATTAATCACATCGAATTGTTTACAGTTGACCATTTTCTTTGAATCTTTTACAAATAAATTCAATCTCATTTAAACAATTTGAAATTTCGTCGTTGAATCTCAACGTCTTAAAATGTGCAATCAAATTCACTTGAAATTGTGAAAACTTTCAACAAGTTTTGCATCTTTGCAATGAAATTCTTTTTAATGAACATTCAACAGAATTGGTTGAATGGTTTTCCCTTTCGTCTTACAGGACGACATTTTGTCCCTACATCACAAATGGGAAAAATGCGACTAAACGAACGTCAAGGGAAAAATGCGACTGAAAAATATACCAAAAAAACCTTAGAATTTTATGAGAAAGAAAAGTAAACTATATAAGAAGAAAAACAAAAGAATAAACGACAAAATGAACTTAAAAAAACACGACAAAAATTCAGATAAAAAAAAGGAAATTTTATAAATTCAACAGACGTGAAAATTGGAACAAAATAAATTTCCATGAAATTGTAAAGTCAACAAAAAAAGTGCAACCCTTTTTGAAAAGAAATTCAAATGAAAACTCAATAAAAAAATGAACGTAGCTGGTGTCATTTCAATCAGATTAAGTGGGGCGGAAATTTCAAGGCGTCGATACAACAATTCAAAACTTAAATATGATGACATCAACAAAACCATCCTCCATTTACTACTTTGTATTGTGAAGTCTAATTTCACCGAAGATCGAGAAAAAAAGAAGAAGATGTGTAGAAACGTGTAGAAGAACCAACGTGTAAAAATAGCTTTGTCGCGAGAGTCGAGCGCTATCCATATAAATACATTGTGATGTCACACATCTTACACAGAAACGACATCTTTGTAAAACAGACTAACTACAATGTAAAAGTATAGCGAGAGGGGAAGGGAGTAAATAAAAAGGGGAAACAGATACGTTTGATTTACATTGTAGTTAGTCGGTTATTAATAGATGGCGTTTATATAGTGTGCCCTTATTGCGCTTGACTCTCGCTTTGTCGTCGCATGCACTAACGAAATGACTATCCCAATAAAATACGATGTAACAAAAGTTAAGCAATTCTTGTTTTTGTCTTATTGCTGTTGTTGATTCCTAAGTAAATCGGATAACGGATATCCGTAACGCTCCAAAACTAAAATACAATCATCATTATTTGAACGGAAGAGAAAATGAGAGTAGAATGACACGCAACGGAAAATCATGCTGACACTCAATTATTTTCCACAGTCACCCAAGCAAAGGAATGGCGAAGAAGACGACAACGAAGAATAAAGTCCATTGTGGTTTTTAGTAAATGTGGTGCAAATGTAATAAAGTTGGATTTGAACGCTTGTAGATTACAGTTTTGGACAAAGCTCTTTAAGTATGCATTCCGTTGAAATAACACAAATATGGTTTTCATGCTTTTTGGCTAGAGAAGTCACCAAATGTCAAATGCTATATAAACAATAAGATGTGAAAATCCAAATAGAAATGGTCCAAATTCATTACGATTCGCTCATTTGATTTTTATTCCCGAATTATATAGAGCACAAAAAACCCCAATCGTCTTGACCCAGTTCTCTCTCTCTCTCTCTCTCTCTCTCTCTCTCTCTCTCTCTCTCATTCTTATAAAGATAAAATATGTTTGCTTTTTTTTTTGGTTTTTCTTTAAATTTCAATGCCAAAAAAGAATTTGATTACTGAAAAATTATACAGTACATTGAATATTGTATATTTCTTTTTGCATCGTAGCTTATGATATCGAAAAGGAAATAAAATTTCAACGAATAAAAAAATTGTGAAATTATTGGCGCGTGTAAGATTTGTACGCTATGCACGTAAAGTATCCTGTGTTTACTCGAGAAACACTGTACGATGGAAAATATTCAAGATTCATTGAGAGATGAGAATTAGATTAAGTTTGGTATTAATTCGGTGGAGCAGCAGGATTCAGGCATTTGTTATTTTATAATTTAGCTGGTTAAATGAATTTCATTGACAGTAACTAACAGACATTTTCGTTGTCACATTCACCCAAAGTTATTTCAGAAAATTTTAATCGAATCAATATAATTTGCGTGACTACATTTCTGCTGTTTATGCAAATCAATTTCCAAGATGGAGAGAGAGAGAAGGCGAACGATATGCAAATTTATTTCGAAAAGTAAAACCACAATTTGTTTTTCGGAATCTTCTTCTTCTCGGTCGTCATTGAAAACTCGAGTGTCAACGGCACAATGTTGGTGTTGATGGCAGCAGATGTTTGTTTTTATTTACCATGGTAAATTGTTTGTCGAAACCCCATAATATGAAGTGAGCACTTTGTCGTGCAAAATTTGTTTTAACAAGTTAATTTTTTCCAATTGGCGCGCCTAATCTTATCACGTGTAATTGTTGTAAATTTCAATTCAAATGGTAGCATAAATGAAAATTAGACAATTTTAATACAGAATTCGTGATGCGACTATTGATATTCAAATAAAATGGTGTTTGTTCATCGAAAAAAAAAAATAATGTTCGTATCTACAAACGGAATCGGTACTTCGGTACAACGGATTCATCTAAAGGTCATAGATGCATTATTTATGTATATAAAATGTATTGTTTTGTTTTATTTCATTGTGGATGTGGATTTTGCGAGAAACAGATGAAATAACAAAATGGAATAAAATCGCTAAGATGATACTTACATCGGAATCGGCACCTTTGTCAGCACCCGGACACTTAAATGTTACATACTCGTGGCACCGTTTATGTACAACAAACGAACAAACTGTCAAGAATAAAATCGATGACAAAAAAATGAGAATAATCTATTTTACACGACAGCATTACTATTTAACTATAATATCCAATGGATAGTGTACAAAGTTCATTTTTTATATACATCCATTCTACTTACTTTGACACTGGAATCCTTGCTTTCCGAATCCCCTTTAGGCACACACCATTTCCACAAAGATGAAGCGAGACACAGAGTGAGAAAGACATAGAAAAAGTAACAAACGGAAAACATCAACATTAGTTTAAGAGATACAACCTTATTTACTTTAAATTAAATTTATTGTGAGAGCTAAGATCCTTTTGTTACTCGGTTAATGGAAAGTAAAGGAATCGCTTATATATGCATATAAATACTCTTGTGTATACACTTTTTCCACGTTCTCTCTTATTCTTTGGATGTTGCTCGTTATTCATTTAACTTTTATACAATGAACATGATTGATTTTGAGTACACTGTCAATCATTGAAATTCGGTGGAATTTTTTTTTTCTTCTTCTCTATAGCGCTGAATGAAAGCGAACCAGTTGTTGTTATTATAATTTTGACATAAAAAAAAACGTATGTATATATTTTTATTATCGAATGTAAATATGAAATACGGATTATAAACAAAGTGAATGCTTTGGTTAAAAGAATAGAATTAAAGTAATGTCGAAAACATTTACCATTCCTTCAGGGAAAAATCTCTTTCGCTTTTTTTCCGCTTTTAGGATTATTTTCGTCTTTTTTTTTCTCGTGTTACTTTTTATCCCCTTTATTTTTCGCCCAATTTACGTTTGAATGGGAGAAGAAGAAAAAAGTTCAACATACACACACACACACATACAAAAATGAAACACTGCAAACACAATGAAAAAAAAATTATGTATCGCTTAACAAAAGAAAAAATGTTCATATTTTTGATAAGTCATTTTTAATGTGTTTCATTGTTTTTGTTTTGGTTCTTTTTATACCGAGGCATTTTCATATTTCATGATCGATGTCTATGTGTATTGACATGTTTTTGTTGTTTTTCAAAACACAAAAAGAAATCCAGCATCGAAAAAAGCTACCGCTCCGAAAACAAAAAGAACATCCCACAATGCTGTTAAAATAATGATTAAAGAAAAATGAAAAGAAAGTTCAAAGCTAAAACTTGATTGCTGAAAACACAAGAACCTGAAGCATATTTATACATATATTTTGCGTAAACGTCCAACAATGGTATATTTTTGCAATTTTAATTGAGTTGCGTGTATGCATGTTTTGACGTTAATGAGGAGAAGAAACGGAATCGTTTCCGCTTTTATTGACTGCAGAGCACTGGATTGGCAACAGCAGAAGCAAGTGGTATGCGACAGCAGCACACTATGAGAATTTGTGTGAAATTTTTGGCATAACTTTTACTTTAGCTTTATGTTCATATCAACATATTTTTTTTTTTAATTCTATTTGACGAAGAGCGAAAGATGTGTAACATCGTAAGGTCTCGTTGGGAATTTAAAGCACGTTTTGAGTTATTGCAAAGGTCAAATTCCTACAATAGGACTCATTTCACGATAATTTCATGCCATTCTCTCACATTTTGTTTGCAAAATAGAAAGGCGAAAGCATGTTTAAAAAGCACGCGAAAAATTATCGATTGTACAATTAGAGGCTGAAGAGTGGAACCGGATTCTTAAACGTCAGTCAAGTAAAAAAAAAATGCCGTTTTCATTTGAACACAACGAATATTAAAGAAAAAGAAAGAGGCAAAGGAAAAATGCACCAAAAAGTATGAAACTTTTTTGTCCCTTTTTTCACAGTACGACATGACAGATACTTGAGTTTGTATTTTGAAGTTGTTAGAGCACATTCAGTACGCATTTAAGACGAAAATAAATGGCACTCCGAATAAAGAGAGGGAGAAAAAGAGAGAGAGAGCAGGGCTAGCGCTAAACACTTTGCACGGCAAGTTTAACGCAAAACGAGCGTAAATAAGTGTGCCGATTCAATTTTGGGCTTTCAGATCTTGGGTAAATGACATAATTGACGGTATGTTGAACGAAACGATTTGTCTCGTGCATCATACAAACTGAAAATGAATCGGCTCAAACTAATTTCTCTTTAATACGCACTCATTTATTGATTTACCCAATGGTTTGGCATGTTGTTGTTTTTTTTTTGCTTGCAGTTCATATAATTAATACACTGCCAATGTATTTGGAAGTAATGCTTGATATTTCGATGTATAAATATTTGTTTGAAAATTCATGAAAATACAGACAATGTGGTAGTTTGCTGTACTGGAGAGCCACTGGTGACAAGGTCGATCGAGTTTTCAAATGTTTTTTTTCTTTCGAAAGGGCATCTAAAAAGATACACACTGATCAATTTTAATCAATATCGTAAAATTTTAACTCGAATTATAACGTAAAAATCAAGCTGTTTTCAGACTACCATACAAGTTCTTATGAAAAACCTCATTTGCAACGAAAACAATTTTCTTGGACAAATTTTCCAAAATGAAAAATGTCATATTTGTGGATTGGACTCAGGAATCCGAAAAAATGGTTTCAAGTTGATAGCTGATACATTGCTTGAATAATGCTACAAACAAAAAAACCGAAAACAATGTTAAAGCTTGATATACATCAAGAAATATTAAAATGAATCAAAAATGAACTACGCCACAAACATGAGAGGTTTGAGGTTTTGGTATATTCACACGATTAGATACGAATTAATTGCATTGAATATTGAATTGTGGTTTTATAAAATCTATTGTAAGGTAATAGATTTGATTCATTCCATTTTATATTAGCATGCTAATTTTATATATGCATAAAAGTCTAGATAAAATTACGAAGCGATTTAGACAAAAATGGAAGTTATCAATTTGACATCTATTTATTTTGAATTTGATGGAAAAAAGGAAAGAAGTTTATTGTACGTCCAAAAAAGAACCAAAATCGAGAAATTTTTTGTTTTGAATATGCGTCCTTTTTTAAATTAATGTTGCGAACACAATGACTGTCTCGATAAAATGTATGCGTCGTTATTCTCTCTTTCAACATTAAATAACAAGCAGCTTAATGCCCGATGCGATTACACATCGTATCATACGTGGTGTAAATATCGCAAGCGAACGTGAACGCACGATACCGAAATTTGCATTAATTTTCAGCCATATATCCAATTACATGGGCTGAAAAATCCATACGTATCCATTTAAACATGTGTACGATTGCACACATATCCTTGTGTGAGAAAAAAATACATGACCCATACATACTAACGAAGAGTGCTAGCCTGCCAACACCATTTTTGTTAACACATTCCATTTTGGTTGTGTTGCATGCGATGATGCTTGTCTCAGTGAATATGACGCCGTTTTTTTTTAAATTGAATTACTTTGTAATGTCGGAAGACCGTAGTTAGCCCACCTGTGGCTAACTAAGTGTTGAAAATATAGATGTTAAAAGCTGAGCGAAACATAAAATGTGTTTACCCTTTTTATCATGTGGGATGCTACTTAACATGATGTGCTAGTTTTACATATATATATATATTTTTCTTTGTAGTTTTTTCGTCATTTTTTGTGTGAATAAAAAATGAATGGTTTCACAATGAAAAATTATTACAAAGAGATTATGTTGGAATTTTATGGATTATTTGTTTCAGAATGTACTAATATGACCTACGCAATTCCCAATGAATTTTGATTGCTTCATCGCTTGAAAGTTTTGGCTTTCACAAAAAGCGCCAAAAAAGCGAACAACACTCGGTTTTGATAAAACGAGTTTCGGAAAAGTGTAAAAAAAAAATATTTCTTTTTACATGTGTGTGTGTGAAACGAAGGCTTTTGATTAATCTCGTTTTTTTCCTTTGTTGTTGCTGTCGATTTTTTTTTTGTCGGTTGAACTTAAGTTTAAGCTTGTGATTTTAGCACAAAATCGATTTACGCTTTCGTTCGGCTTATACCATTTTACATGGTAACACATTGTTTTACTTTCTAACAATAGAATGGTTACGATAACGTCAATTTAAGGTATACACAATTTTCTGTATATGCATATAGGATTTTTACACAAGTGGCTATGAAAACATATAATCAGAGAGAACATCACGTCACATTTTTCAGTTTGAAAAAAAGGTGCTCACTCGCTTCGTTCGCATACATGCTTTGCAAGCTGCACTATGTTTTTTTATATACTTTTTTATTTGATTTTTATATCGTATAGGAAAAAAATATGCGTTTGATTGACTGACCCAAAAAATGGAAAAATTATTTTTTGGCTCGAAAATTGAATTTTTTCTAAATGCACATTTTAAAGGTAAACGATATAGGAATGTATGTATATGTAAATTGTGTACCGTTGAAGCCACAAACTACATTTATCTCAACTGTTTATAAGATTAGCCACTCTCGAGAACGAATTTGAAATTTACCCTAGTGTCAATTCTTTAAAATTGCTATAAAAAGAAAAAAAATAAAACAGAACCAACCCACCAGTCTACATTTCATGTAGTGCAAAAAACTGTATTTTCGGGCATTTAATTTTCAAAAATGATGCAAATATGTCCCGCATCACGATTTACCAATGAAAAAACACCGGATATCGTGCCATGTACCGTGGTTTACCCTATGCACGGGTATGCGTTGATGATGATGAAATAAAGCAAAAAAAGAGACCGTTGCTATTCTTCATGATAAACATCATATATGCAAAAGGTAAAGTGTATGTGATGAATGTTGCTACCAGTTCTTTTGTGTGTATGTGTCCCACCACTCGTGTAAGCAACATACACACCACTATTTGGTAATTAACCAACTTAAAATGTGGTCAGCAAGCATCGTCTGACCCGTATTTTATATAGAAAATGTAAACACACATATAAAATAATGAACACCAAAAATGTACCAGATACGCACTTCCATTTGAATCGACGGCGTTCAGCTGATGTTGCTGCAAAAGAACAAATGTGTGTTTTGCGTGTGCTTAAAAGTATCCAAATGTCAAATGTATTCATAATTGAAAATGAGTACGAAATGGGGGAAAAGAGATGGCAAAATGACTGAAGGGTGAGAAATATATGGCATTTTCTGGTATAGGTCGTTTGCGTATAAAATGAATTGTATGCGATTTTGTCTGATGTTGATTTAACAGCCCCCCCATCCATTTAAAATA